AAAAAAATATTTAAGTTTGTTTTTAAAAAATGTTTTCAATTTCAAAAATTATTTTCTACTCTAGTAAAAATAAAAGATATTTCTCAAAAATATTTTTCATTCATAAATCAAACACTAAAAATATTTTCCGGAAAATATTTTCTAATCACCAACCAAACATGAGAAAATAAGTCAAAAATCAACTTGTTTTCCAGGAAAACATTTTCCTTCATACCAAACACACCCTAAATAGAAAAAATAGTCATCAAGGGTTTAAGATGTGAGAAAAAATTGTGAATTTCTTCAGATTCAGATTTTTTGAATTTCTTCAGATCAAATCTTGAGGATTTCTTCGTTTCCAAATGAAACGAGAGCAAAGAAAAAAAGAAATGCAAGAGGTTTTTACTACAAAATATACATAGTGGATACAAATTGTATTTTTAAATAAAATGTATTTATATATAATAAATAGAGTGTACAAGTTAGTTATACCATCTAAACTTTTATTTTATATAAAAAAAAAACAAATAAGAGTATTTCTTTTTACGCATCCATTAAGGTCTTGGAGAAAAAGTAATTCTAGCTTATTCATGCAAATATTCCTTTATACACCACCATTCAGATCTTATTCTTATTTATATATATAAAAAAAAAACTGTATAAATATAACGTCATATTTAAATTAAATATTTGACAACTTATATGTTTTAGATCAAATTCTAACGTTTTCTATTCATAAATAAATTGCGAGATAAATTCTAAACATATGTACCAAAAAGGAACTTGTTAAGAAATGCATAAATAGAAAGGGAGATGGTTCAATCTTAAGGTTTTTAGTTCTTACCCTCTTGAAACTATGAGTTCATAATATATTACTAGCAACTTTTCACATTTTTCTAAGATTTGTATCGAAAACGTTGGATGCAGCAGCCTAGTATTTACTTTCTCCATCCGGTACATAAAAGTGTAGTTTTCTTTAACAAAATGTATTTTGTAAAATTAAATATATAAAACATCAGATGGGAGGTAATACATCTAAAAATTGTAGTCAAATAATATTCTTTAACTACGCAAATGCATATACTTAAACTCAGTACGTAAATAACTTTTCCTTCAGACCCAACCATGGACCTTGCAGATAAAATGATCCATATAATGTACAACAAGATATTACTAATATTAGGATATCTTTCTCTCCGAACAAGATCAAAACTTGATTTGCTATATATTTGATAATCATCGGAACCCCCTCCAACCTCCACCCCATGACGAAAATCGCATCAAGACCACTTGTACCTCAACCAACACAGACATTATGCATAGAAAATGAAAGACATTGTGATCCGATGAAAATTTTCCAGAAGTCTAAGCCACCAAAATAAGGTAAACATTCAACTCAAATATAGAAATAGTAAAGAGTATGCAGAACAATGCGACAAATTAAAGGAGAAAAATGGTTCAAGCTGCCAAAATTGTTTCATAACAGAGACTAAGGACATTAAACTTAAAACAGCTTTGGCATTGCAGAAGATTCAATGCTCACGCCTTTGCCTTCCTAGGAGCCAACTGAGTCTCCGGCTGCATCACAAACAAAATGGTTAGGCACATTTCAGAAAGATGTGATTGGAGAAGACAAAGTACTGGTATATTAACTGATATGCAGATGACAAAAGGCAAGCTATATGCAAGTGTCATATTACACTGCATATGCAAGTCGTAATAAAATAAACAGGGACAAGGTGTAGTTTACCTCTTTCTTGACAGACTCTTCCTTCTCGGATAAAATCAACTCAATATGGCAGGGGTGAGACATATAGGCTGCAAAAGGGTCAAGAGGTTAGGATTGAGGTATCAATGACAAGATACAACAAGATGCAGTGAGAAAATAAGCACTTACGGTTAATTCTTCCGTGTGCACGGTAGGTACGACGCCTCTGCTTTTGAGCTTCATTCACTTGGATGTGAGATATATAAAGTGAATCCACATCCAAACCTTTCACCTAAATAAATTCAAACAACAAAATCAGCTCAAGGGCACATAGAGCAGTCTAGAAACCTGTGCATACTCTTTCTAGGGAAAAAATAACATAATCTGATAGTACCTCAGCGTTGCTCTCAGCATTTTTGAGTAAATCTAGAATAAACCCTGCTGATTTGACAGGCCAACGTCCTTGACCATTTGAATGGCGATTCTTTGCCTGAGCAGTGCGACCAACCCCACGACAAAAGCGAGTGAAGGGAATGGCTTGTTTGTGGGCAAGAACATCCTCAAGATATCTCTTGGCCTTGTCCAATGGCATCTTCCTGAGAGCATGGGCAGTCTCTCGTGTATTCTGCGAGTAGATAATGCATAAATATTTAGCAAGAACAGAAAAACCATGAGAAATTCCAACACTGTTAAATCCAACTCAGGGTGAAAAAAAGGTTGTGTTAGTAAACAATATTCCAACAATTCATTTTTGAAAAAGTTGTTCTACACAGAAATGTGTTTGGATCATTGTCAGAACTTGACATGAGGTTTAGCACCAAATACTTCACTAATTTTATAGTGATAAAATGTCACTAAAATTATATTTGTATATTACCCAGTCAGTCGAAAAAAGGATAGGAAGGAAGCTTATGTTAGATACATCTGAAGAACCAAACCAGTAAAATGTCAACCAGAAAGAAAGATTCAGAAACACATAGCTGGAGCAAAAACAGACTGAAAATAAGACAAATTCTAGCTAATAATTTATGATCATACCCACCGGGTACCTGCTACCTCTCATAGTAGGGGTACCAGGTTAACTGTAACCACCAAGACTTGAACAAATGAGAATAACACACCTAGTATTTTGAGTCAGTAACATGAGACATAATATACTTATCCTACTTCATTGACCACTAAACCAAACACTCCAGCAAGCTTGCTTCTAAGTTCAAACAAAT